GCCGGTGGCGCGCGCGGCCGCGGGACGGGGGCCGGCGGCTCCTCGCTGGCTCCTCGGCGCCCCGCCGGCCGCGCTGCGGAGGATGGGCGTCGTTGCTTGGCTCCCCGGCCAGGTGGCCGCGACCTGTGGCGTGCGGCGCGGGGACGGGGACGGGAAGAGCCTCCGCTCCTCTGCGGGGCGAAAGGGGACGGAAAGGGGCGGAGGGGAGGAAAGAAAAAGGAAGGGGAGAGGGCAAGTTCTTAAAATAAAATGGAGCGGAATTCGGTGTGCCTAGCAGATGGATCGGGCGCGGAGCACGAGGATTGGAAACCTCTTCGTCAAAGGCTTCATCGAAAGGGTGTCCTCAGTGGGCAGCTGGGCGTGTGCGCGGCGTGGGGGCGGTACAGAGGAGGAAGCGCAGCCGGCGCAGCCGGATCGCCATGCAGTGCAGGTCGGGGACATTCTGCGCGGAACCTGCACTGCTTCTGTACTTTCAGTTTAGCATACTGATCTGGCCAACCTTCTGGAATTGTGCAAAAAAAAAAAAAAAAAGATACGTTTTAAAATCGTCTTACATATGATATTGCAGATCGTATGTTGTATCATTGGCTGGATTGCCCTTCCAGTCCTCCAGGAGCCAGGAAGGACAGGGATCCGGGAAAACCAGATTGATTTCTTCTGCAAAAGGGGAAGGGAAAAAGGGCAAGGCTTGCGTATGTCTGGGAGTCAAGTCCCCATTCACAACTGGAAGAGACCCTCCTCCTCCAATTCCAGATGTTTGGGGGGGGGGCTCTTTGTGGTGGCACGACTCAGAGCCCTCTGAACATGCTTCAAGGCACTTACACAGCAACATGCACCCCCTGAAGACAAGCCCCGGCCTAGTTTCTGACCACAGAAGAAGCTCTGCTGGGCTCTTTTCTTCAACGAAGCCCAGTGCCTGGTAACAGCACTGCAGTGTGGAGCCATATCCTCTGTTGGCAGGTACAGCCCCTGGGAGGCAGCCAAAGCGAGGAAATCTTGCTTGTGTGTATTTCTCTCGCTACGAAAAATCAATTACATCTGCTACCATCTGGTATGGCAGCAATTTTTAATTTGCATGATTTAACTTCCAGTAATGTTAAATTATGTGTTGGGTGTCTGTGTAATAGCCCAGCTATCAGAATGTGAGAATGGGAAAGGGAGAGACAGCGAGGAGAGACAGAGGGGTGGGGAAAGAGAGAGACTACAGGCATTCTCTTTGCATTTAGCTCTTGCCCTGATAGAGTTTCAGGAGCTGGAGAATCATCCCATTGCACTGCTCTTTAAAAGACTAGATGCCTTTTTAATCCCCAAACTCCACTTGACTCCTCCAAGGATGCAGGAATTTTCCTACAAAACCACCCTGGTCGTCTGCATGGTGCACCATGCGGTGTTTGCGCTGCAGGGAGCCCGAAGTGTGTCCAAATCTCTGCTCCCATCTTTTTACTTTGCTACTGATTTTTAAAAGCCTTATGGAGCTAAAACCAGGGGAGTCACAGGGTTAGATGCATCTGGGCTTCAACTGTAAACAGCGGGAGGGAATCAATGCACTCACATCCTGCTTGTGGTTTTCCTGTGGGTGGGTAGTCAGCCGCTGTGTGATCAGGATGCTGGACTAGGTGGGCCTTGGGCTGATCCAGCAGGACTTCTCTGTTCTCCGTGAGGATCCTTCTCCCTCTTTCCTCCCCACATTTGCTTCCCAAGGAAGCGCAAGCCCTGGCTCCTTCCACTCTTTTAGCATCCCGATATCAGGAGCTCCACCATAAACATGAAATTGATGGTGAGTCTCCTTCAGGTGCTTTTTGAGCTGAATGGTGGCATGTGGATTTATTGTAAAAGTAAAGCTATAACCAAAAGGTCCAAAGGATCAAGGAGACATATTGCTACTTTCCTGGGAGTGGTGGAGGAATGAGAAGAATACGTCCTCTGCCCTTTTTAAAAAAGTTTGCTCTTACTAGAAAGTTGTGGAATCCAATGTGAGCAGCGCTCTGGATTGTAGGCCTGATATAGGAAGGAGCCTTTATACAGGCGTCTGCTCACAAACCCATCTCGGCCTCCGTTTCCAGCTAAACTTGTGTGTTCCGCGTGGAGCCACTGTGGTGAGCAGCAAAAGGGTTAATTGCAACAGGGCGCTGGAGAGAAGACGGGCAGAAATGCGAACTCCACCGCTGGGCGCTGCTGCAGGCACTCGTTTTGAGAGGAGGCTGAGATGCCGGTCGCTTGGCTGTTCCCGTTTTGCAGAGTGACAAGGATCTTCCTGGGCTGGATCGCAATCCCCAGCCTCCTCTCCTGTGATGCAAAATCTCCTTCCTTCCTTCTTCCACAGTAGACCAGAGAGCAAAAGCTCACCAGGAGCCTGCTGCAACCCTTCTCAGGCCATCCTTTCTTAACTTAGCAAAGCCAGGTCCAGGTTTTGGGGGGGCCCTCTGTCAGTGAGTCCCCCTTCTCGCTGCTGTTGCCACCAGCTCATCCTCTTCCTTGCCAGCAGAGAGCCTGTGGGCAGGGGGCGGGCAGGGGTGCTCTGGCTGCCCCCTCCACCACCACCCTCTTCCGCACCTGAGCAAGAGGCAGGTGAGCACGCCAGTGGTGCAGGTGAAGAGGGAGGGCAAGGGCAGGGGGCTCTTCTCGGTGGGCTGGGCTGGGGTGCGGGGCCCCAACAGGTGCCTGACCTGTCACAGGTCCTGAAGGGGCCTCGGGGCCGTGGCTACTCTGCTTGGCCCGAGAGACTGGCCACTCCCAGCTTGCTGCGTGGCCGCAGAGCAGGCTGGCTGCCTTTGGCAGCTGCTCCCAGTTTGCGCAGCCTCACAGTGGGGAGGACCACAGGCCTGGAAGAGCGGAAACTGCTCTGGAAATGAAGCTTTTGTGCCATGAGACACTGGAAGTAGGCGAGGTTCTTTCTTTACAAGAAAAAAGAGTGGGGGAGAAGATGAAACGAAAATCAGGGACACTGTTGCTGTTCAGATGGTAGGAACTTATACCAGCCCTCCTCACCCAGGGTCCTCCATCATACCCACCCAAAGCCAGGATGGGAACCTCCTACTGCAGAGGTTTCCTTCCACTTTCTTGCAAAGCAACAAAGCAACTCCCTTTTCCTTCCTTCCTTCCTTCCTTCCTTCCTTCCTTCCTTCCTTCCTTCCTTCTTCACTTTCCATCCTTCACTAGTCACACTGATTTGGCCCTTCCTCTTCTTTGTTTCTTGCTGTTCGTGGATGGTGGGGAGAAGTGAGGATGAAGTCTGACACAAAGGACGGAAAGGCTCCCCAGGCACCCACATTGTTTATTATCCCCCCCCCCCCGCCATCACCAAAACAGGAGGATTGTCCTCATTCGCTAGTTTATTTCTTTTAAAAGGTGCTGCAGGGCACATCTTTTTCAGCCTCTGCCATTGATATTAAAGAATTTTAGAGCTGGAGGGCATCTAAGAGGTCATTTAGTCCAGCCCTAAATGCCCAGCACAGACATAACCACAGCATTCTTGACGGATGGCTGCCTCGCTTTAAAGGCTTCCACTGAGACAGTCTGCCACCACTTAGGCCATCTCTTCCGCAGCCAAACAGCTCTAACTGCCAGGAGGGATCTCCTGAAATCGGCTTCCATGCCAATCCATTGTTGTTCTGACCGTTGCAGAAATGGAGGACACAACTCCAATCTCCTTTTTGTGACACTGGGCTAGAAAAGCAGGACACATTTTTTCAACGCAAGCTCAAAAATGCATCAGAAAGCATGCATGCAAGGCCTCTTTCTGAGAGGGGAGGCGAAGTGTGGATTTTTCAAGTGCAAACACAAGTTTCAGAAGATGCAATTTTCGGAAGACCTGTCCCAAAAGGTGGCTTGCATTCATGTTCAATCTTCACATTCAGATGTTCAAAAAAAGAGGCAAGTTTAAGTCAAAAGGAATCAAAACAAGGTTCTTTTACCTCCCAGCTATTCCGGATTCTGTCCTCTGAGCACACGCCACTTCGTCAGTGCCCGTGGGGCGTCCGTCAGGCCTGTGCAAAGAGAGTAAACCAAGACCTCTACTGAAGAAGGTTTAAGGTTCTTCAGCAGCCCTAGTACCTGCTTCCAACAGTGGCTATTCGGACATCTCTGGAAACTGTACAAGCAGAACACAGAGATGAATTCCCCACACTTGTGGCTCTCCTCAGCATTTGGTAGGATGTGGCGTATTGAGAGGCAGTGTGGTGTAGTGGTTATGAGCGCGGGACTGGCACACAGGGGATCTGGGTTCTGGTCCCCTCGCAGCCATGGAGCCACCTGGGTATCTTCGGGGCAGTCACAGGCTCTCAGCCCAGCCTACCTCACAGGGTTGTTGTTGTGGGGACAGGATGAAGAGCAGGAGGAGCCTCCCTAAGTCCCTTGGAAGAAAAATGGTGGGATATAAATCCAATAAATAAATAAATATCATCAGAGATCAGTAACAGCAGTGCTGTTTGCTCTTCCTCTCAAACAAACCAACCACTATATGCTGAGCATGTGCAGTTTTATACTTTAAACTCAGTACCATCCTAACTACACAAAACGGGCCTTGCTTCTGCTCCTCTGATCACCTGCTGCTCTCTGTGGGGTCATCTGAGTGCCCCCCGGTCCTAGAATTGGGCCCCAGCGCCAAGCCAAATACCCCGGCTGCACCACT